ATAATGCTGACAAGACAGGTTGCTGCAATCAGGAGTCATCCAACAGCAGACCGAAGAGTCAGAAGAAATACTGGCAAGGAAAGAAGCCCAACCAGTCCAAGATTGTGTAAGTCAGGCACCTGTGCCAGATCCCCAAAGAAAGCACAGCAGGCAGGAGAATGGGATGGTCCCAACACGTGAGAGGAAGGAAACTATCATTTGGAAGGCTCGTAAGACTCTGGCTGGCTGGCACCCAGAGACAGCAGAAATGGAAAGGCCTCACACCAGCCTCCTCACTTCCAGTGCTTGCTCATCTTGGCAGCCGTGTCCATTTTCACCAAGACATACGGCGTACTCTTAATCCCAGCAGCACCAGGGCCCAAGACAAGGGACTGTGTGTTTGCACTAATTTCCATAGGCTCAGGATGAGAACAACCACTGACCTTAGACAAGCAGTCTGAGTAGACTCCACTACATCCAGAACAAGCCCAATTATTAGCAAAGCAGTTGGGCCAAGGGAAGTGGGGGGGATTTTCACAGTCAGGCTGAAATTTTGCTACCTTTAAGTGAAATTTTGCTAACTGCCCGTGTAGTGTGCCCCTTACCTAGCCTGCCCCACCTCCCACATCATACCTCCCCCTACCCTTATTTTCATTATAAGGGTTGTATACTAAGTGTATATTGACCTCTAAAACCAAAGATGTTTCAGGTGAATTTGAACTTTTAATCCCTGATTTATTATATTGTGTATTTTAAGTGGAGGAATGCTATAAAATGCAGTTTTATTATAAATAATTTGCAAACCTGCCACTTTTTGATAATTTCCAAATAGTTGTTTTAAGTGGGGAGCTGCAGCTAATGGGTCAAACAGCATAATAACCATAATTTCCATAACCATAAATTAATTAGGTGTTCTTTCCCCTTTATTTTAAGACCTTTAATAATGGCATTAACTATTATCACTGCTGCCAAAGGTCCCAAAGTGAGGACAAATAATAATAGGGCAGTGGGGCATGCCTTCTTAGTACCTCTAGATTTTTTTAATGAATTTGGATTCATAGCCATTAATTCTAACCTTAGCTGTAGAGGGTTGGTAAGAGGGTTTGATGGTATTAGTTATGTGTGGTGCTAGCTACAGGAGAGGGGACGCAGGTGGCGCTGTGGGTAAAACCTCAGTGCCTAGGACTTGCCGATTGTATGGTCGGCGGTTCGAATCCCCGCGGCGGGGTGAGCTCCCGTCGTTCGGTCCCAGCTCCTGCCCACCTAGCAGTTCGAAAGCACCCCTAAGTGCAAGTAGATAAATAGGTACCGCTTTATAGCGGGAAGGTAAATGGCGTTTCCGTGCGCTGTGCTGGTGCTGGCTCGCCAGAGCAGCTTCGTCACGCTGGCCACGTGACCCGGAAGTGTCTTCGGACAGCGCTGGCTCCCGGCCTCTTAAGCGAGATGAGCACGCAACCCCAGAGTCGGTCACGACTGGCCCGTACGGGCAAGGGTACCTTTACCTTTACCTTAGCTACAGGAGAAACCTATTTTCTATATAATCAAAGGCTTTAAAGGTATCTATAGCTACCTTTTCCATTGTTGAGAGGAAAAAGCTGCTCATGCTTCTGAGACACAACAAACCTACATTGGTTTAAGACTCATGCAAGGGAATGCGGCTAATAGGTAATTATCAGCGTTTTTTCCAAATGACATTGCCCCACATTGCTTTAGAGAAGTCATTGAAGCTATAATTGTATAAAATAAATACATGTTTGCAGAATTGATAGGACTCAAATATTACTTCTATCCTTCTTGGGAGCAGAGAGAGAGAGAGAGAGAGAGAATTTCTGGGAGATCATAGAACTTTTACAAAATGTCTCTGTGTTAGGCACCCAGTGTGCATGCGCAAACACACACACACACACACACACACACACACACTGATATGGCTGCTTGGGGCATGGAAAGTGAAGGAAGGGCCTCTATATATCAGTCTTTAAGGAACAACAATGGGAGAGGGCTATCGTACGCATCTCCTGCTTGGCTTCTCTTAGAGTTCTGGTTGGCCACAATGGAAAATGAGGTGTAAATGATGTTTGGACTTGATTCAACAGTGCTCCTCTTTATGTTCTTATGAGAGGATACAGAGAGGCACATCAGTCTCAGATATAATTCCTCCTTGCTCCTGGGAAGAGTGATATATTATACACAATGGACACTACTAGATCTGTAGGGCATACTTAAAAGGGAAAAGCAATAGAAATAAATCTGACTGATCATGAAGGTTTAAGCAAGGGAGAGCACCTGACAATATAGTGACTCTACTGCCCAGAAGGAGACTCCACCACACTCCTTGGCAGCAAATTCCACTGTCGAACAGCTCTTACTGTCAGGAAGTTCTTCCTAATGTTTAGGTGGAATCTTCTTTCTTGTAGTTTGGATCCATTGTTCCGTGTCCGCTTCTCTGGAGCAGCAGAAAACAACCTTTCTCCCTCCTCTATATGACATCCTTTTATATATTTGAACATGGCTATCATATCACCCCTTAACCTCCTCTTCTCCAGGCTAAACATGCCCAGCTCCCTTAGCCGTTCCTCATAAGGCATCGTTTCCAGGCCTTTGACCATTTTGGTTGCCCTCCTCTGGACACGTTCCAGTTTGTCAGTGTCCTTCTTGAACTGTGGTGCCCAGAACTGGACACAGTACTCCAGGTGAGGTCTGACCAGAGCAGAATACAGTGGCACTATTACTTCCCTGAATAGTCTGCTATTCTGTATTATGAAGGTTTGATATTCTGCATTTTTTCCACAGAGAAATCCAGGAATTAGTGACCCCGCCCATGTGCCACTGGAAGCGTATAAGAGAAACACCCTGACAAGCTATTTATTGAAGCACATGAATATGGCAGAAAGGCCATGCCGCCAAATAATCAGCACAGCTTTTTGCAACCATATATCAGCAGAGGATGCCAGCATTAATCAATTAAATTAGTGCAGAGGCCAAGAATCACAATCAACAAACCAATCTGCAGCTTTCAAGGAACACTGAAAGGTATTGGGATAGGAGCTGCAGCAACTAGTGCAGACATCAGTGACTACCATCAATGCTCCATGTTATCACGTAGAATTGCCAACTTATTAGCATTGTTAATCACCTGACCGTTTAACTGATTGAAAGTATATCTATATTAATAAAACCTCAATGAAACTGCCTTTAAGGGATCTTGACAGAAGCAAACTATTTATTTTCATCAAACTCTGAGGGAAATGGGATACTCCCCACAACAGTTGCATACCAGAATCACAATGGTTTCGAGAACTAAACGAGGTCAAGAACTATCAGCATTATGAAATATTCAGGTTTAAAAGACATCTTGACATTGACAACAATCTTCAGTTGCCTTCAATGCTACTAAGAACATAAGCCTTTGTGATGCCACTCTAAAAGTGTCCCTCTTTGCTAGTTTTGGATACAAAGTGGAAGGAAAATCCACAAAGGGAGGGATGGGAGAACAAGTTTGTGGGCCATCCATGGCTGAATGGCTTTTCACTGCTGTGAATTCAGTAATATTTGCTCATTTTTATTCCCAGTGATTAACAGGAAGTCAATTTTCAATCTGCAGTTAAAGTTTAGTCAATTAATTGTACTGATTAAATCAATTAAAGTAGGCAATCCTATTATATGGTGGCATCTAACATGCTATGTAGGGACATAACAAGGGGACAGACACTCTCTACCTATTAAACAATTCCCTTTCCCAGGGCTGTTGTGAGGATGAAAAACAGTTTGTCATGCAAGCTAGAAATACAGATAAAAACGATAGCATTACTATAAAGGTGTATGACCAAAAATTCTTGTTTCCAATGCCAGTAGGAATGGAATTAATGCTTTGCTATGTATTATTTTAGTTTAGTTGCTTGAAGCATGCTTTAATTGTTAAAAAGTAATTATTTTTTATATGCCATAAAGGTACAGACAATCTTTGACCTTTCTGTTAGGAAAACACAGCCAACCCAATGTCAGATCACTCAACTATTTCCACACATACCAGTCAGACACATGTTGGTCCTATGCATCTTACTCAGTTTCCTCAAGGAGGGGAAAAGAATGTGACTAGTTAAGAAAAAGTGAACACACTTGCAGTGCCTTCTGTTCCTCCCTGCTTTTCCATGAAAGACAGATAAGTGATCCCACAGATCTCTCCTGAGTCCGTAATGGGGGCAGTGAAGAAATGCACAACATAGCGTGCCATCCCTAAACTTGCCTGAAAGGTACAGTCTCTGACCTTGAAGCCTTTTGCCCCAATCCCAAATGTCCACAGACAAAATGTGTTTACTCTTTAGTGACCAAAGGCCCTCTGTGTATGCTCAGAGGCATTTTAACCTTTACAGCTTCACATGTTTCAGGACTGAGTTCTGGCATTGAAACTTGATTTTGGTGCTAAGCTCTGGAGAACTCTAGCTTAAGCCCCGCACAGAACTAGGATGGAAAAAGATATAGGTAACTGCACAGTTCAAGAGTAATCCTATATTTTCTTCTGCTCCAATTGTACATTCCTCTTTGCCAGAATTTCAGACATACTGTGACATTAGCGGATTGTCATCCTTGCTGTATATGATACATTTTTAATACTTAAGAGAGGAAACAAGAGAGAATATGGAACATAAGAGTTAGAGGTTCAAATATACATGTGAAAATTCCAGACACCCTATTTGTTTCTCTCTCTCTCAATTGAGCTTCAGCATCTACCCCTAGAGCAGCCTTCCCAAACCCTGATACATGCCAGATATTTTGGGTCACAACTCTCACAGCACCAGCTCTGCTGGAGTAGACAATATAGGTGAGGCAGATGTAAGTAAGTCCAAAACCTCTGGAGCACATCAAGTTACAGAAGTCTGCCCTAGAGTAATCCCAAAGGTAGAGAGGAACCAGAAAAAGGATGCTGTTCTGACTCACCGTGTAGACGGCAAGCTAAACAGCCACCATCAGTTCAATAGGCATCAGTCCCTTTAAAAATGTATCAAATCAAATGCACTTACCCGGCTTTATCTGCTGCCAAAGATAACAAGACCACAAGGACAAAGTGAGGCCACGTGCTTTTCTCCAATGTAAGCCAATGATTTGTTTTTCCAATGCTGTTAAAATGTAACTTTTCTCTGGAGGAAAGAGTAGGGACAAAAGTCTTCGTCCTCCAGCCTGGCAGTAGCACCTTTGTCTGCCAAGCCCTGGAGTTGCCTAATTGTTGGTGTCTGTTTTAGTCTCTCTTCCTCCGAAACCCTCCACTCATCTGTGGCATCTAGAATGGAATGCCAGAAATGCAGCAGTGCTGGTTACTGAGTCGCTCCTGGCAGCAGAAGCAGCAGTGAGAAAAAGGGTGGAGGAGGCATGTAGGATGATCCAAAAGGCAACACTCACACTGTGTTTGGTAGGAGGTGCCTTCCCCCGCAAGTTTCTCACTCAGGCAGGTCCCAGGTCATGACGTGGGATTCTAAGGCAGGCAGGCATCTGCAAGAAAACAGAACAGGTATTTCAACGGAGGCACAGTTCCAAAATCCCAGAAGTTAGTAAACAAAGACAAGATGCACAGATGTCTCGGCTGCTCCAGAATTAAGTGCTACTTTTTTTGTATATTGCAAAAGATGCATTTTTAGCACTCAATGCCTGCCACTAGACACTTTCGTACTTGCAAATGAGTAAGGCTGTTTCCCCACCTGAAATATGTAGCTAGCAACCTATGTTTCAGGGCGGGATGCTGGTTGCAGCCTTTGTTCACTCTGCGGTGTCTGACCACAAAGGTGCTTGAGATGTCACTCCGGTGAGCAAAGTCAGTGGTTGAACAGGAGGCTTAAAAAACATTCATCAGAACGGTAGCTCGCTGCGCTCTGTGCCCATTCTGCCCACCTACTGGGACTGGTAGTAATAAGAAAGGGACCTTAACAAGTTCAATTTAGAATACCAATCGTGCAGAGGCTTCCCTGGCGTTCTTTTCCATTTGCAATTCATTGGTGGCCCTAGGATTGCTGATTCTCCCCTCTGCAGAATTACTCCATTGACTGGCACATTCGGGATCAGAAACGCAAACCTGGGCTCTAGATGTGCCGATTCCCTGTGACAGGCACAAGAGGAGGATCAGCTCCTGCCAGAAGGCACAGGCAGCCCTCTGTCTCCTTAAGCAGGGCAATTTTCGGGCCCGCTCCCGGGAGTTTGACTAAAGGAGGGAAAGGGCTGTCCTGCCAGCCTCCCAGCCTGACATTTACCGAGACAGACGGAGATGTCGATGGAGACTTCCGAAAACAGGAGCCTGCTTGGACTCGGAGACAGCTGAACCCCTCCTGGGTTTCGGGTCAAGCTATCCCGCCGCCCTCCCTCTCACATTCCAACAGCAAGCCACGCCCCGAAATGGGCCACAAGGGTGCAGCTTATAAAGGTTTGCAGACAAGCTAATCGGGAGATGCCCGGTTCAGACGTGCCAAGAAGCCTGACCGACCGACCGACCGCCGCGGTCACCAACGCCGGAGGAAAGCCAGCACGTCCCGAAGGCGGGCGGCGCCCAGAGGCCCGGCGAGAAGCACCTCCCCAATTCCTTCGTTGTTGCTGCTGCTGCTGCTGCTGCGGCGAATGCGCGCGGAAACTCCTCCTCGGCGAGCCGCTTCAAACTGGCCACGGCGCTAGTCCCTGGCGTTGCGTCCGGCCGCTGACGAGTCAGGAGCTTCGCCCTCGCCGAGAAGGAAAAGCTAACGCTCTCTTGAGCCGCCGCCCGCCTCGCTCGGAGCTCCGAGGCAGGCGTGGCCGGGGCTGACTCGCGTCTCGTCAGGATCCTTCGCGCGCACGTGGCCGCCCCTCCCACCCCCTCAGAAGACGTTGTCGTCGTTGGCTTGTCGGCCAGCCGAGAAACAGCGTCCCCGAGCGACCTCCCTCCTAGGCCCACCTTCACCCTGTCAGTTAGAAAAAGGAGGAGAAAAAGGCCCGGCCCGGGACAGGCGCCTCAGGGAGAGATTCCGATGGCAGAGGCATTGCTGTCTAGGCAGCCCATGCTACCGCGCGCGCGCGCTCCCGACAGAGCCAGAGCGGGAGCCGCCGCCGCCGCCGCCGCCGCCCCCTTCGCAAGGAACGAGCGCCTACTTGCCGCTGGTTGCCATGGCAACTCCGCCTGCTCCGGCCTTCCTGAGGAAGCGCCGGGGACGAGCACACGGGCATGGGGTGGGGTGGGTTTTTTTGGAAAAGAAACCTGCAATTTCCCCCTGTGAGTGGGTTGGGCGCGGCGAAAGCCAGCCAAGGCAAGGGTACTTTGGTTTCCCCCGCGCCACCAGTAAATACTGTAACGGTATTCATTTGCCTCAGTGGGAGTGAGGAGCTCCCGCTGTTCTTTCCCCCACTCCAGCAGCGGTGCTTTTACCTTCCTGGGCAAATCCTGGCCTCTATTAGCCACCTTGGGAGTGTGGTGGAATGTTCGGAGGGACATGTTTATTGTATGATTTTATTTGTTTCATAAAAATGTTAATTGTAAAAAATGCAAAGCAAAATACCCAAAAGCATTAGCAAAAAGAATAAAGCAGTAAAATTATCAGTTTAAAACTGCTGTTTCATTCAAAGCTATAGCATTCAAAAGATAATTAAAAACAGTGATAAGCCCTTTCACCACCACCACCACCATTATTTTATTTCTTAAGCACTCCCTCCTCCTGAGAGCCTAGGGCAGCTGGCAAAAACACAGCATTAAAAACAAAAGTAGATCCAGGGTGCTACCAGTAAGAAGGCTTCGTCCCACAGCTCCCAGCCAGGTCTCCCACCCCTACAGTTGGCAAAACTTGGGTTGGCTGGTTGTGGGGAAGGCAGTCCTTGAAGGAATGTGGCTTAGGCCTTATTTAGGGCTTTGTACTGGCACCACCTGTCACTGGCAGCCAGAGCAGTGCTTTCAGGATTATTATACAGTCAAACCTCGGTTGTCGAACTTAAACCGTTCTAGAAGCCCGTTTGGCTTCCGAAAAACGTTCAAAAACCGGAACACACACTTCCAGGTTTTTGACGTTCAGGAGCTGAAAAGTACAGTATGAAGGCCTTCGGGAGCCAAGGTTTGAGTTCAACGTAATCCCAGTATTCTGCACTAATTGCAACTTCTGAAGTGTTTTCTAGGGAAGTCCAATGTAGAGCACATAGCAGTAACTCAGGCAGGAGTTTATCAGAGCATAAACTCATACCCTCCAATATTTATCCAATGAAAATAGGGACGTCCCATTCCATAATGATCATTTTACTGTTTATACCCTATGCATCTTACTGGGTTGCCCCAGCCACTCTCAGCAGCTTTCAACATATATAAAAACATAATAAAACATTTAAAAAAAAAAAAAACCTTCCCTATACAAGATTTCCTTCAGATGGCTCAGAGGTTGGATAACTCCATACCCTCCAGCATTTCTCCAATGAAAATAGGGACATCCTAAGAAAAGTGGGACATTCCAGGATGAAATCAGAAACTGGGATGGCTTATCTAAATCAGAAACATCCCTGGAAAATAGGGGCACATGGAGTAAACTACTGTGGCCAAGTTATCACAGTACAAAAAGAGCTGTAGTCTCCCTCCCCAAGGAAAATGGTTTTCTTGAAGGTTATGTACACCTTCAGAAAGTTAAGAGCTAGACCTTGGCAAACAGCGTGAGCACAACCTCCCTTATCATTAGCTCACCTGATCTGAAGCCAGAGCAAAACTTCTGCTTTAACCTGTCTCCTGCCTGCCTGTTTTTAGAACCAAGTGTTATATGAAATAGACTATAGCCTGACATTGCATGTATTTAGTTAATAATATCCTGCCTTTCGTGTGAATCCCAGAGTTGGTAATAACAATAACAGTTGTACCTTGGTTTTCGAACAGCTTAGTTCACGAACAACTTGGAACTCAAACATCGCAAACCCGGAAGTAGGTGTTCCAGTTTACGAACTTTGCCTCGGAAGCCGAACGTCCAGTGCAACTTCTGTAGCTTTCAATTGGCTGCAGGACGCTCCTGCAGCCAATTGGAAGACGCACCATGGCTTATGAACATTTCAGAAGTCGAACAGACTTCCGGAATGCATTCTGTTCGAAAACCAAGGTACGACCATTAAAAAACCCAACAGTGATAAACAATAAAAGAAAGAAACATCTAACAAACCCAATGAAACAATCAGTTGTAACAGATCATCAGCAGTACATTATAACCACATTATAGTTTCATAGGCATCTAGCTACTCATAAGAGCCCAGGTAAAAAGGTGGGCCTTAGATTGGCTCCAGAAAGTCAAGTCAAGTTTATACCATCTGCACCTCCAAAATAAAGGTCCCATCACAGAAAGGGCCATTAAAAACACACGGTCCATAACCATGATTTGTATAGGTAGACATTCCTCAAAACAAAAATCGAGATATTCTTGTACCATGTCAGAAACCATTTCCTCAGATTGGGCCATGGCGTCTTCCATGCAGAGTGTGACACATAAGCAAAATCTTCATGTGAAAGATGGGTGCTAGTTGTCTTATGTAAGCCACACTGTTTTGCAGATAATTGCCATACACGAATGCACATTTTGAATTCTTACTGTAGTCTTCACCAGCCCAGCTGGCTGGGACTGATAAAAGTTATAGTCCTAAATGGAGGGCACCGGGTTGGCGAAGGTTGCACTCAGATGGATATATTTGAATCAACACATGCATTTCATCTAGGAGAGTCTAAAAGCAAGAGCAGCAGCTTAATTCTGGGTAGGATTATGGATGCCTGATACACTCCCTCACTACTGGCTTTGCAATTAACAGTGGCAGATGAGAATCACCACTGCACTGAAACCTGATTACCTGAGAAGGGCAGTAGAGTAGCATGTTGAGATGCTTAGATGGACTGATACTGTACAGGCCAGACTTCCCCTCCACCTCTTTGTAGTAGTAATGGGTCTGTTCAACAGAAAAGCTTTCTGTGTTACTGTGTTTGGATTTGGAGCAGTAGATTCCCTGCTTCACTGGCAGTTATGGGGTAGTTTTACAAATATAGGTTAAACATTTGCCTGAGGCAGTAACTAGCTAATGCAGAAGGCACACTAAATATAGACATGTTTTGATTTCTGTCTCCATTGCACTCTGCTGTGCAAATAAAATACGAACTGGCTTTCCTGAACTCA